AGCCGGTCTAGCGCGCACCCTAGATTCCCTAGACATTGATGTCTGCTGCCTTTCAGAAACCCGATTGCAAGATCCCAGCACTGTGCTTACATTGACATCCCCCACTGACCACGAAGCCAGATATCACCTGCGTCTTTCTGGAGATCCAGAAGCAGCCTCAGCGTGTTTGGCTGGTGTAGGTATAGCACTAAGTGGCAAGGCCGAGGCGGCACTACTGGACTGGTTCCCGATTAACAGCCGACCATGTGCAGTTCGGCTTCGGGGTTCATGTAGAATCAACAGGCACCGCCAAGAGAGACGCAACTTGTTTGTGATCTCCGTGTACGCTCCAACTGACTGCAGTGGTGACTCGGTCAAGGACGAATTCTACCGAGATCTACAACAGCTCTTGACTAATGCTAAAGTCGGATGTCGTTATCCTTGCTGGGGATTTTAATGCACGGGTTGGCCGCCTGTTACCATACGAACGCCACCTTGGTGGTCATCACTCGCTCGATGAGAACCGCTCTGATAACGGAGAGAGGCTTCTCACATTGTGCGAAGACAACCGTCTGTTTCTTTCGAGCACTAACTTCAGGCGTACGAAGAAGCGTTCCGCAACGTGGCGTCCCTCTTCTTCAACACAACCGTGGTCTCAAATTGATCACATTGCAATTAGCTTCAGATGGCGCGGCAGCGTACTGGACTGCAGGTCCTTTTGGTCCACCTTCGTTGACTCAGATCATGCTCTGGTCTGCGCGAAAATCTGTATGTGTTTTGGAGGATCCCGAAACACGAAGCACCGCAAGATTGATGTAAACAGATTAACTGATTCCTCTGTCCAGACGAGCTATCAGTCTTCAGTGGCATATGCACTCAGTTGCAATCCACCGCAAGAAGTGGAACAACACTGGACTTGTATACAGAAAGCGATGACCATTTCCGGACAGTCATGCTGCGGCCTAACTCGACGCCCCTTGAAGGCTTGGATCTCTGCTCGTTCTCTGGAGCTGTTCGAACGCCGCAAAGATATCCCCGCGGAATCAGATTGCAACGAGCGGCGCCGTTCTGCCAACCGGCTGCTCAAGCAAAGCCTACGCAAGGATCGCGAGACATGGTGGTCTGAGCGTGCTTTAGAGATGGAGACCGCTGCCCTCTCTGGCAACACTCGCAGGCTCTTCCAACTCATTCGGTCCACTGGCCTCAGGAAGCCTGGTGTCAGTGAGGTCATTTGTGAGGTGGATGAGTCTCCGATCACCAACCAACAGAGGCGTATGGACCGCTGGGCCGAGCACTTTCACTCGCAGTTCAACTGGCCTCCACCATCCATCAGTACATGCAGTACACCTTGTTGTCCACCCTGGCTCGTCCCACTGAATCCACCCAGCGAAGCGGAAGTCTGCCTCGAGATTCGACGCTTGAAGCGCTTCAAGGCTGCCGGCTTAGACGGACTTCCTCCGGAGCTATTCAAGTACGGCGGTGTGGCGATCATTAACCAGCTGACCGCGCTGTTCGCAAAAATTTGGCATGAAGAGAAAGTGCCTTCCTCTTGGGGCGAATCAGTTATTGTCCCGATTTTCAAGAAAGGCGCTCGCACTTCATGTGCAAATCATCGCGGGATTAGTCTTATTTCGGTTGCCTCTAAGCTATTGGCATCCATTCTGCTTCGCAGACTATCCCCAGTACGTGAATCATACTACCGTGAAGAACAAGCTGGTTTCCGTCCTGGCCGCGGATGCGTGGATCAAATCTTCACGCTCCGCCAGCTCCTCGAACATCGCCACATTTATCACAGGCCCACTATCGTTGCATTCCTAGACATACGTGCCGCTTTTGACTCCGTTGATCGACCTGCTTTATGGCGTTGCTTGCTAAAGAACGGGGGCCAGAGAAATATACCACCATCTTACGAGCACTTTACCTTCATACATCCGGCAGAGTGAGGGTCTATGGCAAGCTTTCCTCGCAATTCGCTGTCAATAGCGGTGTGCGACAGGGCTGCCCTATGTCCCCATTCCTCTTCAACTTCGCAATCGAAGACGTTCTGTCGAATGCTCTAGAAGGTTTCCAACATTTTGGCCTAGAGCTTCTACCGGGTGAGCGCGCGACCGACTTAGATTATGCTGATGATATCGCCTTACTTGGTGACGATCCTCAGGGTATGCAACTCATTCTGGATCGTTTGGCGGTTGAAGCATCTATGGCATGAGCTTCGCCCCATCGAAGTGTAAAGTACTGCTCAAGGATTGGCTTTCACCTGCTCCCGTGCTCACTCTCGAAGATGCACAACTTGAACAGGTAGATAGTTTCGTCTACCTTGGGAGCTGTGTTTCTGCTGACGGCACTATCAACAAAGAAGTTTCTCTTCGTATCGCTAAAGCTCGATCAGCATTTGTTAATCTGAGGCACTTGTGGCGTCGTCGCGACGTCTCATTCTCACTAAAGGGCCGCGTTTACAACGCATCAGTTCGCTCAGTATTGTTGTATGGGTGCGAGTCCTGGCCGATTTGCATGGAAGACATGCGTCGTCTTTCTGCGTTCGATAACGGTTGCTTAAAGAGCATCGCTCGTGTTTGGTGGCAACATCGAGTTAATAGTAATGACGTTCGACGTCGCATCTTGGCGAATGCGAGTATTTCCTTCAACGAACTGGTTTTGTTGCGCCAGTTAAGATGGCTCGGTCACGTCCTACGCATGGCGTCTGAGCGTCTGCCGCATTGCGCTCTATTCGCTCGTCAAGGACCTGGCTGGAGGCAACCGCGTAGTGGTCAGCCTTCCAGTTGGTGGCAGCACATGAAATCGCTGACGTCGTGTCTATCCGCTGTTGGATCCCGTACGTCTTCCGGGGTGGGGACTCAAAGATGAGGAGTGCTAATGGCTTAACACTCTTGAACACATGGCCCGCAACCGGAATCAATGGAAGAATTGTGTACAGTATTGTATTGATTCACACATTTAATACTTCAAACATTGAAAATGACAAAAAAGTGAAAAATCAGCGTGAGAAAAACAAACTAACAATGTTTTGTTATACTTTTGTCAAAATGTTCCCTTCTTCCTGCGGCATATTAGCTGAAGTGTGTTGCTCACCTTCAACTAGCATGCCACGATGATTATGACGCAGTGACTTCCCCTTATCTGCTAATCTCCATGGCTTTGTTAGCTCTATGTCTAGTTGCTAGGCTGTTGAGATTACATACATGGTTGGCGGCATCCGGTTTCGGATTTGCCTGTCACTGTGGCCAGCCACAGGACGCCTGCGCCTACAGAGGGACCACGGGTGGCTTGCGTTGCACCACCCACAGCTCCAACCACACACCCCATATCCAGTGTAAACCCGAAGGAATAAGACCGGGAGATATGTGGATGGGAGCCACGTTTCGTCAACGGAGCCGGCCCACACTCCTTCACAGGCAAACACAAGCACGCTGTATTTGGGAAATCAAGCGCACACAAGGCGGTGGCTGGACCGTAGTCCGCTCCACACTGATTACATACATACATATCTGAGTAACCGCTTTCTCTTTCGGGCGTTTAGCGCCCTCCTCCCTGGGCCATCTCCTTGGACCTGTCCTCACGCGCAGAAGTCGAAGGTGAGATCAGACTGATGAAATTGCATAAGGCCGCAGAGGCAGATAGAATTCCCCAGCACTCTTCAAATTCGGCGGATCTACTCTTGTAGATGATTTACACGAGTTGCTAGTGAAACTTTGGGGGCAGGAAACTGTCCTGACAGACTGGAGCCGCTCCGCCATTATCCCAATTTTCAAGGGAGGCTCCCGTTCGGAATGCGGCAATCATAGAGTGATCAGTCTGATCTCAATTGTCTCTAAATTGTTTGCATCTGTTGTTCTCCACAGACTGACTGGCACTCGTGAAGGCCAGATCCGTGAAGAACAAGCTGGGTTTCGTCGAGGTCGGGGCTGCATCGACCACATTTTCACCTTGCGTCAAGTGCTGGAGCACTGCCATGTTTATTGGCGACCCAGTGACATAAATGGTGCCTTCGATTCAGTCGATCGATGTGTCCTTTGGGATTGTCTGCTGAGGAAAGGTGTGCCTGGTAAATACTTGGGCAGCTATATCAGCGCCCGTGGGATCGAAGATGAGGTTACGAACCGTATAGCAAAAGCTCGAGGTGCTTTTCCCAATCTGCGCCACAGGTGGCGCAGACGCGACATTACTCTCGTCATGAAGGGCAGAGTTTATAACGCAACTGTCCGTTCAACCCTCTTATATGGTTGTGAAACCTGGCCCATCAGGTCGACAGACATAAAGAGGTTCGTCACATTCGATCACCGCTGCCTTTGCAGCTTAGCTCAGGTTTGGTGGGAGCACTGCGTGAGCAATCAGCGTGTTCGACGTCGCGTATTTCGTGCAGGAAGAGCGTTAACCGCTCAGCACCATTATATCACGCACCAGGCTCCGATGGCTGGGCCACATGTTGCGCATGCCAGCACACCGACTCCCGTGACGTGCATTGTTAGCGAGACGGGTGCGGTTGGAAGAGGAGAAGGGAAGAGTAAGCGTTGACTTGATCGAGAGGAATGAAAATCCTCACTTCGAAACTGGCGTCGGTTGGTGCATCACGACTGCCTGTCTGGCGTCCTAAGGACGATGAACACGTTTGGTTGGACACACTCGCTGATATGGCGAAGATCCGGTCCCAATGGCGTTTGTGTTGTGTTTCTTAGTCCATCCCCCTCCCTTTAGGTTTCCCCGCCAATCCCGATCTCACACAAAACGCATAATATAATATTTATCACCACATTTTTGCAGTGTAATTTGTGGTGTAATTTTTCAGTCTCCTATCTTTTTGTATTGCAGCACACTAGCTGAGGTGTATTTCGCACCCTCAGCTAACGTGTACTGTTGAGGACTGAAGTATTTCACATTTCGCATTATTGTACTTGGATTCGGTTGAAAAATTCAGTTTCTCTAGGGCTTTGACTATAGCTTTCGTGGGTCAGTGGTGTATTCGCAAACAGTACCAGAATACTACGGTTTAGATTAATTAATACCTGGAACGGGCCAACCATTGATCCTCTCGTCATCCATCCAAGATCACCACCGGAACGAGCCTTGTCCTCACTGTAAGCTTCGGCAACTTGGTTAAATGGTACCCCCTTTCGAAGTTGCTCCAGAGCCTCCAAGCATCTGCTGTGTTTCTCACAAAGTATATGACGTACCTAAATGCGAGAAGGAACAGGATAGCTTACCCATTAATAGAGGATGTGCTGATACAGTATCGTAATTTTGGATGCAATAAGTCGCTGAAGATCTAATTTACTTGTTCACATCTTGCTTTTCTCCCGACAACTGTGGTGTACTTAGTGATGAACATAATCAATGTCTTCAATAAGATACACAATAATAGAACAAAAATAACAGGGAAAATAGACGATCGTCATACTGGCTGAGTACCGCTGAATACCGCCTGAGCAGCTGAACAAGAGACAGGTGAAGAAACCTAACAGGTGACAAATATTTGCCTGTTATAAACTGCGTGCACCACTGACGAAAACCCCAAGAGTCAATTTGTCAGGTACGTTGTAATGTTCATGTTCAGTACATAAAAAGTGGCGGAAACTGACTACTGTTACTGGGGCAACGCCACCTGTATACAAATCTGTTGATTAGTGTTACTGGAACTTTCTTTTCTTATGTGCAACTCGTTGAAAGCGGTCTAGTGCCGAGCAACCTGCCTTTATCCCGGACAAAAACCACTAAAAAAGAACCCGTTGCACATTCAGCCGCCGAAACGATGCAAGTAGCTTGGAAATAGGTGTACGTGAAAATAGGTCTTTATAATGATTTAGCTTCCGGGTCAGGCGGGCCAGCTACGCAAGCGAATCAACCTATTAAGAAACAACTATGATCATAGTGTGATGGGCTTGAATTTGCTGAAGATGATTGGATGTTGTTGTGGGGATAAATGGGCCAAACCGTCTTCTCATTAAAATAATGAGCTTACCTGGGAGGATTACCTTCTATTGGATACTAGAGAATTATCTGAAAAATGTACGTCGTTAGCAAAAGATCGGAAATCATAAACCAAAACAATTCGCGATTCGATGTGCTGTTTGAGAAGCTCCAAAGCAACTTAATCGGTAGATGCACAAGACAACTATTAGAAAAATGTTTCAACCCTCAAAGTCACAGCTGCACTATTTGCAATCTGTTTGAGATAATTTTACGAATAATCGCAATCCATGCACGAGACGTACTCGCAGCAGTTCCATCGCACACTCGAGTGCAAAATTGTGAGTCAGCCCTGTGTCCGCTAGTGCATAACCTAACTGTTCACTTATGACCAATGCCTAGACGCAACCCAAACAAATACTAGTGGCGAATATTAAAAACTGCAAGCTCTCTTCAGGTGTTCAAGTTCAACTGGGACCGGAACAGTAGGAAAATCCCGTAAATTTTCTACCTTCGAAAACGTCGTTGATCCAACAGGCAATCCGGTGCAATGATGTGCCAAAGGAGAGCCAAATCAACACATACTATTCACATGGTCAACTAAATAATGTCCACGTGCCCCGCTGTGCCGGCCAGGTGAAGAATAAAAAAATGAAAGGAAACAAAGGAGAAGACAAGCTTATTGAATTTCGTGGCCAATATTAAGATGTAAGTTAAAATGAGTTAAAGAAGTGTAGGCAATAGTAGACGAGGAAAAGCTTAAGGCATAAAGAGCGGGACTTTGAACTTCAGACCGAGAGCGTCAAGTCGATGCTCGAATTCTTTCACCGTTAAAGTTCCTCTGCTTAAACTAATGGTTCCTGTTTCAGTTTGCCGCTTCCAGCATTATTTCTGGAACTCATAGCTTCAAATTCGATTCTTTCATCACCCACTTCGTGGTGTAGCTTCAAACTCGTCTATGGCGAACACTAAGGTTAACCATTTTAAAATATCTGTCTTGATAGCACCAAACTAATATGACTCTAACATGTTTTAACAGTACCATCCACTAGCGAACAAAACAACTAAAAAAATACTCAAAAGAGAAAAGCGGATTTGATCCGCTCTGGCTGTGATGTATGAAACACAACCTAGTCATATTTCACAACAACGTGCACATAAATATACATGTATACAACCTCGTGACCTTACTGAAATCAGCAGTCTACAACACGCTAGACAAAGAGAACTCAATGGCGGAATGCAAATACAAGACCAGCAAGTCTGCCAACGTTTCACTTAACAGGTATACATAGTCGGAACAAGCTACCATCCAGAATACGTGCTTGTACTCATGAGCACGAATTTCGCAAAAGCATCTTGACTTTACAGAACGTGATCAAACTGTCTGATTGCTCTATAACAACAAGCCAAGCGTACGAGCGCGGTTCGGGTTTCATGTGATCCAGTACATGTTTCATGAGAATACCCTCACCAGAGATCTAGCGGTTTTATATGTAAGAGAACGGTAAAGTGCAGCCAACATCATTCTGATTCAGTCACCCATTTGGCATATCTTCACTCCTTCCAAACGTCAGTGTCTGATATTCTAGCTTCCTGCTTCACCTGTGACCAACGTTCAACAAACGTGTCCCGCATCGTTTATTTAGGATGTACCAACAAGTGTTAGGTTCGTTACAAAGCCAAACGATAAGATCAGTTTTCTAGAACTACAACTATCTGAAACGAGACAAACACAGGAACACAGTGAACACTTCAAAGAGTATCTAGTCTCCTAGGATTACATTAACGACCCGTAATAGAAATTCGATCCTGTCCAAATCAGAAGAATAGAACAACTTACTGCCTGTATCGCATCTGAATTACATGAACGGAAGCACCGAATGAAAAAGCCATAGTTTGCAACATTCCGGCTTGCTCTTCAGGAATATGGTTTTCACAAGTGCCAGTCGGTCAGTGAAGGATGACAAACGCAAGGAATTTGAAGGCGATGGTGATCAGACTGATTCCTCTATGGCTGCTGCATTCCGATCGTGAGCCACCCTTGAAAATTGGGACTATGACGGAGCGGCTCCAATCGGTTGGGACAGTTTCCTGCTCCCACAGTTTCACTAGTAACTCGTATAAGACATCCAACAGAGCAGATCCCCCAAATTCAGTTGCTCGTTTGTTCGCCGAGCTGCGAAATTGGTTTGCAAACGTTTCACCGTCATGCGAGACGGCATCAACAGTGCGTCGAGATTTGTAGTGTGATCAGCGAGATTACACTACACATCTCGACGCACTGATGATGCCGTCTCGCATGACGGTGAAACGTTTGTAAACCAATTTCGCAGCTCGGCGAACAAATGAGCAACTGAATTATCAACTCGAGCTACCAGTTTTCCAAAACATTTTAGATCCCCCAAAATTGAAGAGGGCTGGAGGTAGATCATCTGATCCCGCGGCTTTATTTAACTTCAACAGTTCGATCTCACGTTCGACTTCTGAGCGAGAGAGTGGATCGAAAGGTACAGCCAAAGGAGCGGGGCGGTCAGTGGCCGGCGAGAAATCTAACAATTCCGACTGATTAGATTGCCTTTAAAAGTGCTCGGCCCAACGCTCTAAGCGTTTTGACAAATTGTGGATAGGCTGTCCACTTTCGTCACCTATAGTTTCTCTAACACCAGGTCTCCTGCTGCCGGTTTCCCGTATAAGACGGAATAACTCACGATGGTTACCAAGGGCAGCGGCCATTTCCATCTCTGATATACGATGAGACCACCAGGATTCGCGGTCTCTATTCAGGCTAGCACGAAGTTTTGCCCGAAGCTCTTTGCGAGTTTCATTGTGTTCGCTTCCAGCCGGAATATGCCGGAGAGCATCTAGAAGTTCCTGAGAGACTGGAAGAGACCCAATGTCCATGTTGGCGATTAGACTTACCACGTGAGGATTTGCCTGCTGATAGTAAGGACTGGTGTATATGAGACCAGTGAGCTTCAATTGCATCCAGTGAGCGCGTACTCAACTCGCATGACAGCGTACTTTGATACGCATTCAGAACAGCCGGTTTCTCCAGTTGGCTTATGTCAATGCACGCACGAAATCGTCGTGGGCGTCCGCCAAAGCGCATCCGCAGGTCAGCACATACAAGTGCATGGTCGGTGTCCACACTTGTGCTACAAATCGAGTGATAGTTCTGGACGCAGCCTCTCCATCGGTAACTTATCGCAATGTGATCGATTTGCGTACATAGCTGGTTCGACGCAGCTGGGCGCCAAGTCACCCTCCGGCGCGTGCTGTGCTGGAAGATAGTGTTTGCAAGAAATAAGCGAGCATCTTCACACAAATGAAGTAACCGCTCACCGTTATCATTACGAGAGCTTACACCATGTTGGCCGCCCAGATGTAATTCATCAGTGGATAATTTTCCAACTTGAGCGTTCAGATCCCCAGCCAGCACAACAGTGTCCAAGCTTCTTCTGTGGCGGAGCTCGTTCAGTTGACGATAGAGTCGTCTTTTACCGAGTCATCTCTACAGTTTGTCGGTGCATAGGCAGCGATAACGAATAGACACCTGTTAGTCCCACGCGACTTCGAAGCTTTGAACAAGCCAGCCAATCGGACCGCACACGTTCGGCTAGTGATTGGAATCCAGTAAATTAGAACAGCTTCAGCCCAGGAACTCAGGGCAATACCAACACCGGCTGGACCGGTGTTCGAAGCTGCATCGTCACCGGATAGGCGCAATGAGAAAGTGCTGCTGGTGTCACCTGAAGGGGATCGCAGAGTGAGCACAGAGCTCCAGTCTTGCAGGCGGGTTTCCGATAAGCAGCAGATATCGATCGAGAGGGTATCTAATGTTCGGGCAAATGCTGCCTGTTGACCGATCTGTAGCAATGTGCGTACACAGAGGCATGCCAATCTGAAGGATGATCGAGGGCTCCAAATGGAAGGTGATAAACTGGGCTTGGCCGTTTGGTTGGACATGGGCTTGTTGACAGGACAAGAATGACGCTCCGTGTTCACATGTGAGTTGAAACTAGAAGGTAAACGGTTAGCAAAGTAAGGTGGCGGAGGGCCAAGAATTGGGGTTGAAAACTGGGGGGATAAAAGTGAAGCTGGAACGGGACCATAAGGGAGAAAAAGCGTAAGAAAGGGAATAAGGAGATGGGAAGGCTTGAGCAGTAGCATCCAAACTCCTATCCACCCTGTTCGATGCAGCAGATAGGACACCGCTAATTATCCTTTGCGGTGGCCGGAGCATCAAGAAACTGTTTGAAGAGAAATTCATTGTATTGCGTGGGCAGGATACTGTCCGGTTGCTCATGTCTAGACAGGAGAACGATAAGGGTTCTTAAACAACGTCTTTGGTTCGAAAAAATGACCACAAGGCAGCGGATTTGGCTTTGGTTTACAAGGAGTCCGTTTTAAGAAGTAAGGAGCCACATCATTCCAACCCCCAACTTAGAAGACCAGGAGGCTGAGTTTGTCTAGCCTCTAACCATTGACCAATCTGGTATGAGTGGTTCTGAAGGTGCAAAAAAGCATCACCCAGCATAGCTCAATAGATCGCTGAGGCACACAAACCATCGCAACACGGTAAGGTCCAGCCCCATTGCGATACCCGACATCCACGGTAGAAATTTCGCACGAAGATCAACTAGTTAACTGTGCAAAAGGTGACTGACAAATTGGGATGGTGCATGACAAAAAAAACAAGCATACGAGCAAGTTACAGAATCCATATCATACAGCTATTCGCTAACATCAACAATTGTGTGTTGAAGAGAGAAGCCAACCGAGCATAATTACATTCCCAGTTTTTGCCTTCCGTTTTTCTCTCACACGGCCGGACCAACACCCAGGATAGGCAGACTATTCAATCCACATTCTCATCGTTTATTCACACTATAATCGGTCATGTGAGAGTTGGAAAAACAAGTCGTCAATCTCGCTCCAGCCTCATCTGGCTGCCATAAGCAGTATCCCATTTTTCCGAGGTTCTGAACGAGGCAGCTCAGCATAACGTTACAACAGGCATATCGTTTTGATTCGTTCTCCGAGCTGAGTAATTTAATATCAAACGTTTCACCACTTCCCTCAGTGGCATCTTCAGTGTACAGCTTCGTAGGGGAAATCTCACGGAAAATGTCGTTGGGACGTAGCGTTTGAAATTACCCTCGTCAATCTGTGTCCCGTGACCTCTGTTTGTTCGATACTTAGCCGTCCAGCTTCACGCCTTCTCAGCTGTAGGTACACGGGATCGAGATCAATGCGGAGGTTCAGGGAATTCTCCGTAGAGAACCATGCCTCGAGGAATGTCCTTCCTTTTCTTGATCCTCCGTGCGCCATAATTTCTGTTTTGTCCCAGTTAACATTGTGTCCTTCCTCATCGAGGTGTGCTGAGATCTGTGACGATATATGATGATATCGACACGCACGTTTGTGCTCTTTTATTCTTGTGGATAGTTTTCTCCCCGTTTGACCTATATAGTCTTTGTCACAGTTCTCGCATTTTATCCTGTAGATGACATTTTGGTGTTCTTGTGCCTCCAGTCTTTCTTTAGGTCTAGATAATATTCTTTTCAAAGTCCCAGTTGGTATGTGAGCTATCGTCAGGTTCTGCGGTTTGAGGAGTCTGGCTGTCTTTTCCGATATGTTTTTGATGTACGGCAAGGCGATGTGTTTCGTCGTCGTTGGTGCAGGTGTGGTAGTTGTGCTCCTTCGCTTTAAGTGTCTTCGGATGAAACTGCGTGGGTAGCCGTTACGAATGAAAGACATAAACAGATGTTCTTCTTCCTTACGTTTTGCCTCCGCAGTATTGCAATGCGATTCTATCCTACGAAACAGGGTCCGTATACAGCTTATTTTGTGACACTTAGGGTGATTGCTGTTAAAGTTTAGGATTTGGTCGGTGTGTGTTGCTTTTCTGTAAACTGATGTCTGTAATTCGCCTTCTACCGTTCTGGTGACCAGCACGTCCAAAAAAGGTAGTTGGTTTTCCACCTCCTCTTCTATGGTGAAACGAATGCCTTCCATTGCATTGTTAAGTAGGTCTTGTGCGGTCTGTAGCTGGTTGCGTTTGAGAATCACAAACGTATCGTCAACGTATCGCACCCATAATTTCGGACTAAGGACTGGGAGTATATCCACTTCCAACCTCTGCATGACGACCTCTGCAATGAGTCCAGATATGGGGGATCCCATTGGGCCTCCTCTAACTTGCTCGTAGAGCACTCCGTTGCATTTGAAGTAAGTAGTAAAACACAAGTCGAGGAGCTTGCATATGCTACCCACGCAGTTTCATCCGAAGACACCTAAAGCGAAGGAGCACAACTACCACACCTGCACCAACGACGACGAAACACATCGCCTTGCCGTACATCAAAAACATATCGGAAAAGACAGCCAGACTCCTCAAACCGCAGAACCTGACGATAGTTTACATACCAACTGGGACTTTGAAAAGAATATTATCTAGACCTAAAGGAAGACTGGAGACACAAGAACACCAAAATGTCATCTACAGGATAAAATGCGAGAACTGTGACAAAGACGATGTAGGTCAAACGGGGAGAAAACTATCCACAAGAATAAAAGAGCACAAACGTGCGTGTCGATATCATCATGTATCGTCACAGATCTCAGCGCACCTCGATGAGGAAGGACACAATGTTAACTGGGACAAGACAGAAATTCTGGCGCACGGAAGGACAAGGAAAGGAAGGGAATTCCTCGAGGCATGTTTCTCTACGGAGAATTCCCTGAACCTCCGCATTGACCTCGATCCTGTGTACCTACAGCTGAGAAAGTGTGAAACTGGACGGCCAAGTATCGAACAAACAGAGGTCACGGGACACAGATCGTCGAGGCTAATTTCAGACGCTACGTCCCAACGACACTTTCCGTGAGATTTTCCTCTACGGAGCTGTACACTGAAGATGCCACGGAGAGAAGTGGTGAAACGTTTGACATTAAATTACTCAGCTCGGAGAACGAATCAAAACGTTAACTACCAACCCGAGCTACAGGTATTCCGAATCATTGCAAACAGGCATATCCATTTAAAGGAATTGGAACTTATAGTGCTACATATATGTAAAGTCTCCAAAACACCGTGTTAAGAAGTTCTTGGCCATATTTTTGCGAACCAAATACATCAAAAGTTTATTTCCTGTGAGACATGATAAAACTTGATATTCGCTGACAAAATGTGAATTGCTGTGCAAGATAATTAGCAAAAATGTAGGTGCCAGCCCGATTGGAAGATTGTTCAGCTGATAACATAAGTAGTAAAGATAACATCAACCTGCTGCGTGGAGCCCGCTATCCTTTACAATCGTTGAAAACCACATCCAAATGGACAAGATGAAAAAGCAACCACATCTCACACTCGGTGTCAAGAAATGAACACAAGACGAGAACTAATCAGTCGTCGGAGCAGGCTCGAGTTGAAACGAGAAACATAACCGTACGATTTTCAAAATGTGGTGGTAGCTAATCATTTAAACGAAGCCGAATAATGGGTTGTAGGTTGTAGGCTAATCAGCCGTTGTCGATACAAATTGACCACGAGTTGATGAGACGAGTGAAGAAACAGGATTAGCTTAGCTTAGAGGGAACAAGGCACCGCTTCTACAGGAAGAAAAACGAAGCGGGGTGGCTGAAATACCCACAAGTGGACGAAGCGCGTGTGCTAACCAGAGAGATAAAAAGAATTGTTGCATTCAAGCATGACTCGATGTGGACAAAGCAGGCGGGGTAGAACTTGGTTAAAGTGAGCAGAATATACGGACCAATGCGCAGACAGAGCGCAGATGCAGGAAATGGAAAGTAACTAACTTAAAGACATCACGACCAAATAGCGCCCCCACTTATGTACAGTATAAATTGTGCATAGTTGCACAAAACAGCAGATTTGGATCTTCGGCCAGACTAGGTTTGACTCTTGGAGGGCTAAAATACACCAAGTGCAAAGTGAACCTTGTAAGAACTCGTCGGATTAACAGTGCAACGCAGTGCGCTAACGATAATTAAGTCAGCTAGGTGAAAAAGTTGGGTGCCAGTTGAGAGGAAGAAAAACAGAACGTACAAGGTGTACTCAGCTGATATGCGTTGATCCGCTGGTAAAATAAAAAAGTATATTCGTAAGCTGAATGAAAAACGTACCTTCACGCAAGTTCCCGCTTTTGACTGCTTCTCCACAATAACTGATGATTCGTTCCTGTTTTTTACACAGCCTGTGGCTCCAGGCTTGCCGGTATTTCCGCCCTTTGCAGCTTTCTTGGACTTAGGCATATTAGAGCGCAAGCAGTCGCAGGCAAAGCATAAGCTAAAACGGCGGAAAAAGAGGTAACGGACAAAAAGGCACTCAGCGGATGTGATCCGCAATCAAACGACGCCGTCTTTTCTAACCTGATGAACAAATAGCAACTTGTGCGCCCGTCTAGATAAGGCATGGAAGTACTGATGAAACATTTCGATGGAAAACCCGCATGGAAGCAGGACCCTAAAAGACGGTTCCACGGATAGCCGCATTAGTTCACTTAAACCTTTTACAACAACTACTTTCATCTTATTGTTATCCTATCCGTCTTTATAACATATTGAGTGATCGAACACCCCAAAAACCTGTCAGGGAATTGATATGGATAATTTGGACAAATATCTATGGTTTGAGATCCAGTGGTACCAAATGGTCAGATCACCTAGTTGGACTGAAACTCGCACAGACGAACAACAAGGTGTAGGGCCTACACTGATGCCACCTGAGCCTGACTGCGTTGGAAATAATGACTAGCATGATCTGATAGTTAACAGTCCATGTGTGATAAGCAGAGATACGATAGTATGAAGCCCCTTTGTTGGTCGCTAAAGGAAAAGGGTGTGTGCATGCGTCGTAATCTTAACCCTAGCAGAACCCTGTACCTAATTTTTGGTATTTGTCTAGTACGTGAAAAAAGCGTCAAAAAGCAAAAATAACCAAGTAACCGTGGTAAAGCCACAAGGTAAGTCATTTCAAATGTGTTTGAATTGATTTTGTGCGGTATAACGTGAAAAATTCTGAAAATTCACAAGGAAACGAGCGGCTGATGAACCAAGCACTTCAAGAGGAAAAAGAAGCTAATCCAGGCTTATCAAAGTCCCACAGCTGATCGATCCTTCGGTTGACTCAGACTCTGAGGAATCGGAATTTCAGCAAGAATTCGTTTCCAATTCAAGTGACACAGAGTGAGAGCTCGAAGGATGAGGGTGATTTAGGCGGTGATGAAGGCTGGACAAGGAATTTTGTATCACCAAATTCAGATCTAACTTTCAGTGAGGATGGAAAACGCCCAGTGAACATTCCTTGACCAATCTCAGAGAACAGTAAAGCCAATGACTTTTTATCCTAATTTTTGAATGATACTCTTTGGCAAAATTTGTTACAGGAAACCCACCTCCGGGCTCATTAATTGCATCTATCAAAGCCCAACTCTAGCAATGCCAAGAATTCCAAGGATGCCAGGGTGGACGGCATTGTTGGACTGAGTATCTATATGGAATACATACGTATGAAGTCCAGCTATCAGGATTATTGGACAAGTGAGAGAACTGACTTGGCTGAGCTTACTCCCGGAGTTCGAAATGACTCGAGACAGATTACTGGTACTTCGGAGATGTTTACACACAATTGATGAAGAAGACACAGATAACGATAAGACTGATAAAATATATACAGCTAGACTTTATTGGAAAGTCTGTTCCTCAAGTTTCGCCACTTCCATCCGCCAATGCAACATTTGAGCCTAGATGAGGGGATGATCCCGACAAAAAACCGCTTGGTCACCAAGCAGTATATCAAGGGTAAGCCCATAAAGTGGAGCTTCAAGTCTCCTCTTTGTAGGTGAGACTGACTACATTTTGAATGCAAAGACCTACACTGGGGCTGCACTAATGCCCATAAAAGACTTGTGTAGTAGGAAATAAGTCAGGAGAGGACTCCTGACCTCAAGTGCGATGAGAAAGGAATTTCATGTGCTTGCCATGGATCGGTTCTACAACCCTGCAACCCATGCTAAATATGCATTGTCATAATTACACACAGGAATTGTGGGAACCTTGTAGTAAAACAGGAAGCAGTTTCTAAAGTCACTCAAAAGTGTAAAATAAACTTGTTAAGGGTGACAACCGCTATCTATGTCAAGAATGTGTAACATGTTTAGTTTGGCAGAATAGAAAGCCCACTATATTTATTTCGAACTATCACGATCGAGCCGAAAATGCAGCAATAAACAGAAGAAATAAAAATGGCAGTGTGCAAGAAATAAAGATACCACAACTGGTGAAGGACAATAATAAATATATGGGTGGCTGTGACAAAAATGAACAGATGACCCGTCTTCACCGATCCCGTCATCATTAACGGTGGCCCCGGCGACTTTTCGTCGAATTTTACGTGGGCCAGTTGTAATTCTCATATCCTGTATGCTTCAAAGCAGCAAGCTTCAACAACAAAAAACAGTTTATCGCACCAGATCAATTAAGAAATTGTGCCTGCAACTTATTGTTGGGTAAAGAACATCAGCCCACCGATTCCAACAAAAGGGAATCCTGCCCAAAACGGATGACCCCAGGCAGTCATTTTAAAGAGATTCCTCTTGAGACATCGTCTGAGCACATCGGTGTTGTGTGCACGGAAAAGCGCTACAGGTACAAAAAGCAAAATCCCGGAGTGTCTTACAAAGACGATTCATGCAAAGTGAAGAACAACATCCGGTGCTCAATTTGCAAGAAGTGCCTCTGCTGGGTGAATTTGCACACAAAGGTGGAATATTGGAGCTAGATGGAGGGTAGACCTATATTCTACAATGTCTACAAGTTCTATCTTATTCTAACCACGTGTTGACATTTAACTATCATTTTTCAACTACACGTTGGTTTTTTCCTTTAATGTTCGGGAGCCCAGGAATAGTGGACACTTAGGTTCAGGGATACAGGTCTGGTAAGGTTAAGATCGCCGGTTCGAATCAGCGTAGATGCAGGCGACCTCGTGGTATACCACCTCACACGCGACTGGTGGTGGTAGAGTGGACGCGAAGCGTTAGAACGGTGTGCTGTGGTACTAATGATAAGTATGAGGACTTCAAATGTGAGGCTATGACCGAAACGTTAACAGTTGGCTGCCAGCGGATGAAGAAATATCAGCAGTACCCCGCACCGATGCTTTGCAGTGATCACCACAGATAGTACGTATGATGCGTATAATGCGAGGTTACCCGCACATACGCATGCTCGAACCGGCGACCTTCGAATGGCAAGGCAAAAGCCGCATCCTTTCGACCACTAGCAATACTGTTATTGGATTTTTTTAAAACTAGCTATAACATATATGATAAGATTAAGCATTGGCACAATAAGGTAGGAAAAAAAGGAAAAACAACGATGTAAAGGTGGAGCCGCAAGGATGCATGTGCAGAAATGAGATGAAGAGGCGATGTCCAAACTGCTGAACTTGATACGCAGCTCTCTGAAACCAAGTGAAGGCCAGTGGCATCCAAAGACAAACTGGAGGGTACTCTTCTGTGTACAGAGTAGATACAGAAGCAAAAAATAAAGCATCGAAACATAATAACAAAAAACCGATTCTTAATGCGTTGTGCTCCTGTATACCAAGCAATTCGCTCGAAGCTACAGAAAGACGTGCGATAGTGACTCGGAGTAGTACGCAGTGCTAAGGTATACCATAACACCTTTAGTAAAATACAGCCAACGGGTCCAAAAAAGAAAATAACTCGCGAATAGTCCACAATTATATGCCAAGTTAGTGTGATTGCAGACCTAGGAAACGCTTTAAGCACCGGACTAGGTAATTCAACCAAGGCGGATGACCCCAAAACAAACGACAAGAATTGCAGAAAGTGCACCAGCAAACAAGTATCCACTGTGTAGACAGATGTGTTTCCCAATAACATCATCGTTTGGACAAAGACTGCTGGAACGACATGAGATTGACTGAGAGTGAAGGCTGTAAAATTAGAACGAATACAAGGTGGATTTACCTTGGGGCGGACCATCATCATCATCAACAGTAGTACATCAGTCACTTGGACTGATGCTTCGCTGCCGTACAACTAGTGACGTACGAAAGGAAGAACAATAAGAGGGAGAGAAGGGGGAGCTGGCGTAAAAACGTAAGGCCTTAAACAAAGATTCAGAGTCAAGATGTCTAAACTTTGTCAACAACATAGCAGCAAAAACAGCTGGCTAAAGAGCAAAAAGAACGTGGCATCAGCGAGGCAGTTTTTTTGCGGCTTTCACTGCCACGCATCATAACCAGCCATTATCGTGCAGATAACAGCATCAAACAAACAGTAAACAGGTAGTCTGACTAGGAGACGGCAGCGGATACGCCACTGGGGTTGTCTGCGAGACATGTACTCTAACATCTCAAACCAAGCACAAAGCGGGTCACGTGGACTCTAGTCTGAAGGTCGACACGGACCGACGGCACCGAGTTTGGTGGTCAGCAACTTCATTTTCCGCTGGCAAATTAAATCTTGGACACTCGGGGTTTGCGCTGCCCTACATCTGCCGAACAATAAAGGTACCTCTGTAAGCGACATATTCGTAAAAGCTCCCGGGTCCAACAAAGTAAGGAAGCCGAGACGTTAACTACGGTACTACCAAACAAAATAGAATTAAAATACAATACGGGCATACCTCAACAGTACCCGTTCAGTCCCAAAACAACCGGGTCTTCAAGGCACAGAAAGGAGGCAAATAACCTCAATTGCCACCGCACAACTGGATCACAAATATAGTCTACCAGCGGACTTGAGTCGGCTCCGTTAATGCGCCCAATAACCTTACGCGATTGATTCGCTTTACACCGCGTAGAATGCTGGGTGTAATGTGTCTCGGGGCAAATGGGAATGCAGGAAATAACACGGGGGACGACTCCATTTGACTGGAGATTGTCTCAAGTGGGTATGTGGTGGGACACCAAGGCATGTTACATAGTGTGAGCGCGATCATATCTAACAGTGTGGGCTGGAATGGAACCACGTAGACATGGCTAAGAAACAATGAATGTCGGAGGTGTCAGATAAGACCATCCGGAACAAATGGCTATACCCATGGTGAGTTGCGAAGGAAACATGGAACATCGCAGAGCGAATCGCATGGCGGTGGACAAATAATTGTTATCCGGAGCTTTGCCAGGTGACGTAGACGGGGTGATAATCTGGCGCATGAGCTTGACATCCAGCCTGCGGTTTTCATTGTAACTCTGCCGCTAACACCCTTTTCGGTAAGAGGTGACTAGGCATACGTAGTACGTGCGCAAGCCAA